TCTGGGACGTGTACGTTCACCCTGCTTTTCCTCGTTCATGTTTTGTTGTTGTTTATATTATTTGTTTGTAGTGTTTTATATTTTCTCTTCCTTGAAAATTCTGGCAAAATGATCGTCAGAAAGAGTTTTTTTATTAAATAGAAAATTATAGTAAACAATTTTTGCATATTTGAACAAATTTTCATTATTATATATTTACATTACTGAAATTATGGAATTTTGAAAATTTAATAATAATTAAAATATATTATGACAAAGCTCACCACTGGTGATGGTCACACAGGCAATAGTCACCACATATAATCATTACTGCTGATTGGTTATTTTTTATATACTGTATATTGCTTAATAAAATATACTCACCTTCTTCTCAAAAAATAAAAATAAACAAATATAAACACATACATTCAGAATATTGAAAATTTTTTGAATTATAAAGTATAACCAAAACTTGCTCCAAGTAATATTCCACTTGATTTACTCAAAGGAGTTAATTAAAACTTTCTTTGTCATAGATTGTCACCATTAATTTCAAATTACTTTTTCAAAAAAAAATACTGGCTGGCCAGTAACAATTGACTGTCCTATTGCATCCTATATTATAAATCAGCTAAAATTTTCAGTACAGCATATCTTTTGTATTTGACCTGTGCCAGGTGATGCAAAATAGCATTGATACTAATGAGTTTATTTAGAAATTTATTATCTGCAATTAGTAATACTAGCTTCCACAGGTCAAATACAAAAGAATTGCCATACTGGAAATGAATTCTGATTTGAGCTGATTTATAATATAGGATGTAATAGGACAGTCAATTTTTATCAATTTTTAGCTTCTATAATATAGGAATTACCATTTGTTCAGTTGAGTCATTCTTTTGTATTTGGCTAGTGTTGCAATTCTGATATCAAGGATCTTTTTGTAATGTTAAACATGCTATGAAATCCATTCCATTTTTACTGATCTTGAAATTCTACTTTTCCATCTTGATTTCACTGTGATAAAAAAATACAATTATATTCTGTTAACTAAGGAAGTGTATAAATAATAATGAGGTGAGGATTTATTAGTAACTAAATATTTTTCTCTTTACTAATTTAATTTTAGTAGAGAATTGGAGGATCAATTATTAAAAATATAGCGTACATCTCAAGTATTAATAATTTTATTAAATTCTATATTGATAAATCTGGATTTTGCGATCCTGATAATGAAATCCATTTCTATTTTCACTGATCTTGAAATTCTACTTTCCATTTTGATTCCACTATGGTAAAAGAATGCAATTTTATTTTGTTAACTATGGAGGTATATAAATAGTGAGATGAGAAACTGTTAGTAATTATATATTTAGTTCTTTGCTACTTTAATTTTGATAAGTATTGGAAAATCAATTATCACAGATCAAACGTACAGCTCAAAAGTTAGTTAATAATTGTATTGAATTCTATATAGATAAATCTAGCTTTTGTGATCCTGATAATCAAAAAATCTTTTCTGCAACAGTTTACATGATTTGAAATCCATTTTCATACCATTTTCACAGATCTTGATTTTACTTTTCCATTTAGATTCTACCATGATAAAAGGTGCAGTTATATTTTGTTAACTTAGGATATATAAATACACTGGCCAAAAATTTATAAATAACACGCCTATCGGGTGCCTGATAGGTGTGGTATTTATAAAATTTTGACCAGTGATAATGAGGTGAGGATTTATCAGTAACTATATATTTTGACTTTACTACTTTAATTATGATAAGTATTGAGGATCGATTATTACAGATCGGATGTACAGCTCAAGGGTTAGATGATTGCTATACTATTAAATTTTTGATTTTAACTACTTAGTTTAATATCCCATTGATTGTCTAATTGATTTTTTTTTATGAAGGTAGCTAAACGCATTATGTTCTACACCTTTACAATAGCTACATGTATATTACCTTCATCTTCTTTTAATGTTTCTATATTATGTTGAAAGGATTTCCTAATATATTAATGCCATTTTTTCTTGAGTATATCATCATTTCTGTAACAAAATTATCACATTTTTAGAATTATTTAATCATTAAGATAATAAAGTTAAAATATTATTTAATAAAGTAAAAAGATTCTGAAAACAAAAATAATTGTATTTTATTTTACTTTGTTGTAAATCATCAGCATATTCTTTTCCTTTTCCTTTATTTTTTTTTTATTCATCAGCAAACTAATTTATATTTTTCATATGCTTCAGCTATGTCAGTTTTAATTATACTTTTATTCTTTTGGAATTGACAAATTGCATTCTTTTGGTTTTTTTATGTATCCGGAAAATCATTTTAAAGTGCATGAATTATTGGTCCAATATTTACAAGAAATTCAATCTCTTAAAGTACTTCTGAACTAAGACGATTTCACCACCTGTGAGAGCAAGCTCTACTAAATTATAGTGGCTTAGCTTGGTAATGAACTTTTGTTGGCTAAATTATGTTTATAAATATTAAAGAAAAAATATAAAATATAGAAAGAATTCAATTAAGCATAATGTTAATTTATCCAAATAATTAACCAACTAATATCAATAACTATAAATTAAACAATAACTAAAAATACTAAATCAAATCAAATAACTAAATCAAAAATCAAATCAAAATAAAATAACTATAAACTTAAATCAAATAAAATAAGAAAAGGTGAGTTTGGGTATACAGGGTTCCTTTGGTTATTTCAGCAACACTTTAAGACAAAAGTATAAAGTAATTGTTATTTTTATTAAAATAAAAGAAATAGGAATTTTATGAACTTTACAAACTGTCTTGGACAAGGTAATTTCTCTTGTCCTTATATACATTTCTATGCTGGGGTCTAAGAACCTCACTTGGGGTTCTAATTCCTACTCTGAGATCTACGGATAAACAGACCTCACCTGGGGTGCAGAACTCACCTGAGGCCTCTTTAATTAAAGACCTCAACTGGGGTTCAAGATAATCAAGACACCACTTGGAGTCTTGGAGATCTTTTTGATCCTCCACTAACCTTTCTATTTTAATTTTGTTTTAGTAAATATGAATTCTAATACTATTCCCTAAATAATTAACTATAAAAATAGAAATAGAACCAAACATATATAGAGCAATTCTAAGACTAATACAATGACTACTTAGTAATAATAAATAATATATAAATAAATAATATAAGTAATAAAATATAGATATGAAATCTGTGGTATTTCTCTTGATAAATGATACTTTACTTTTAAATTTGTACCTTTATATTTTAATAAACTTATCTTTTGTGTCGTGATATTGTGAAATATTGTTAAATATTATTTGATACTGCGTTAACACTTTTACTCCACCTTACTCACTGAGCCTTCAGATTTAAAATAAAGAATTAAAAATAATTAAAAAGAATTATATTATATTTATTATCTGTTTCGAGATAGGCAAGTTTAGATCAATGGATTGCTTGACCTACTGGAGATAGAGTGTATTAAAAAATTATTTTGTGTGATACAAAATCTAAGAATGATTGGTGAAAGTGTTTGAAATACTCTGCACATTTATAAAAATATAGCAAAGTAATGTATGATTGTATCTATGTATAGTAAATCCGTTGTAAGATTAAATGCTACAATTTTTATAAATATCGAATATTGTTTATATATAGGTCACATGCTGATTTAATATTGTTGATTGAACATTAACATGTAATCAATCTTTGATAAAATGGACAAATTTTCTAATGTTAAAATTATTGATAATAATTTTTTATTTACGAATATTTATTTATAAAAAATTAATATTTTTGATCTGCAATTAAGTTTTGGTAAATGAAGTAAATGAAAAGAGAAGTTTTTGAAAAGGTAACAAATACTACCAAAGAATTTTTAAAAAATAAAAAGTGAAAAAGCAAATTTAATTAAAAATATGCTAAAAAAAAGTAAAAAGAAAATATAATATAAATTTGAATTAGAAAAAAAAATGATACTTAGAAAATGTAAACTTCAAACTCTTGCTCAGAAAGTTCAACTAGAAAAGCTGCAGCTGAAGATGGAGCTTTATAATTAATTAATTTAGAGAAAAAAAAGTAATTAGATAGTTTTATTGTAAAAAACGACATAAAATGTAATAAAAAAATTATTTTATAAATAAATCATCGTTTAATCAATTTCCCAAAAATAATTTAAAGATGGTATAACAAAAAATTATTATAAAAGTTAAAAATCCATCGTAATATACAAAATCTGTAATTTTAATACTAATTTCTGAAACCCTGAATTCTCGTTTATTCACAGTTGACATCTAAATTAATTTAAATATCCATAATCATTAAAATAATTATTGGCATTTAAAAAGTAAAATGACAACTAGAGTTTAAATGATTAATTTAATTTTGATTTTTATTTTAATGAAAAAATCGGGATATATCTGAAATATATATAATTTAAGCTATAAAATAATATCATATAAAACAATATCAAAGCTTATCAAATAATATTACTTAGTAAATCTTATTCGTTGAAAAATTATCATCAAAAAAAATTGCAAACATTTTATTTATCGTTGATTTTTTGTATTTTATTCTTAATATTCTTATATATTTTCTGACTTGGCATTATTTGAAATATTATTTGGAATATTATTCTTTTATATCAAATTGAACTCCATATTCGTCGATAACTTTAAAATGCTCATCACTTAGTGTAAATAGTTGCTGTTCTTCTGTACTTTTTACAATTCTCTTATTATCTTTTACAATAATCTTTTTATTTCCTTCTCCTTTACAACACCAACCTTCAAAAAATTTTCTTAAACTATTAGCACTAAATATCCATGACGTGTGATTATAAATTATAAATTCAATTGTTTCAAGTGATTCTGGTACATATTCGGCCATTTGACATAATAATAAATCAGCATCAAATTCTCCTCCAAAAATAAATGAAAATGAAAATATTCTTAATTCGTTAAAATTATTATTCAATATTGCAATTACTCGTTCAAGACTTAAATGATATAGAGTTAATTGGGTAATCTTGGTACAATAATCTAAAATTGCTGAAAATGTTTCTGTGAGGCATAAATCCAGACAAATATTTCTTAAATTTGTATTGGCCGTTTCAAGAACTCTAACAACAAACTCTTGAGGATAAGGATACCTATATGTACCTTTTGAACAAGAATAATGAAAACTACTTAATTGAGTAAATGTTGAAGCCAAGGACAAACAGCCCGAATCATCCAATCCACGCCAATCCTCAATATAAAGTTCTTGAAGTGAAATAAATTGTCCATTTGGTGATGATCTTCCTTTGAAACCATTAAACTTTACTTGCTTTAAATGAAGAATCTTTAATGTTTCTTTTTGGTTAATGATAGCACAAAATATTGGATCACAATTAAGGTCATTAAGAGTAGCATTTGATAGAACTGATAGTTTTTCTAAATGTTTTTGAGCACTAATAAGTTTTGCTAATAATCGTATTTGATAATCTGAATTCAATTTCAAATCCATATTTAAAATATTATCACAAATAAATTTTAATGATTCATATAAAGGACAAATCAAATGTTCATCTTCATTTATAATCAAGGTAAAACTTTCTAATTTCTTAAATACTTTTGGGGCACCAGGTAACTCTAAAATTGAACCAATTATATCACAATAATTTGTAAAACGTTCACAATTCTTCATGGGAACTTTTGACAATTTATAATCTTCCAGAAATGTACTACTACTTAATGAATCTAAATTAAGTCGAAAGTTTCTACTAAATTTTTTGTCAACTCTTGCCAATTTAAAATAATCCAGAAATGAACAACGATTTATTATTAATTTGCATATCTCACGAAATAATATTCTCGATTTGGTCCTCTCATCAACACTATCGTTATTTTCTTGATCTGGACGAATAATTTGTTGAGAATAAATGGAAATAAAATAGACTAAATTATTGATTATTAATTTATGAATAAATGAAGGATAATCAAAAGTAGCTTGAGGTGGTGATGATGATAAATCAAATCCATATTCACTAAGTAAGGTTCTAGCTTGAGTATCAGTACATGATATAAAAGTTCGAATACATAATGCTTTCTTCCTCAACTTCTTATCATCTGTACAACATTCTTGACCCAAAAGTAATTCCCAAAGTATAGGTATAGTAACTTTACACCAGATTCGATTAACTAATAATGATGAATGTAAATCTTCAGTTGATTGCACATTATTCAAAATTTTAGTTAAGATTTCTGTGGGAATTTTATTTGCCATTTGCCTAAGAAATAAAGAGAAAATAATTGTATCAAATTTATATGATATTTTTGATTCAATGTGTAACTACTCGGATGTAATGGTTACTAATCAAAAATACACAACATACTCGACATGAACAGAAACTAGTTTGGAGATTTTTATGGAAATCTGGAAATGATCATCAGTTTTTGGTTTTAAAATACAAAATTCCAAAACGAAAAAAAAAATCTCATCATCATCCAGATTGGTGATTTATTATAAAATATGTTTTATATTTATTCTTGTTCATTTAATTTTTTGTTATATCTACAGAAAATAGACAATAAAGCATAGCATATAAAATATACATCAAAATTCACCAGACTAATAAAATAATTACTAGATTTAAATTGCACGAACTTTTATATTGGATTTTGGCTGCATTCCAAATTATGTAAATTATGTTGACCCCTTACTATACATAGAGAAATTACACTTAAAATTGAATTATTCAACGAGATTGATAATCGCAACGAATTTTTGTCAATAAAAAAAGCTTGTGCAATTTAGATCACCCGCAGGTTCATTTTAATTTTTTTTCTAATTTCTAGTTGTCAGATGACTTTTGATAACCCACTGTTCCATTGTACACGCTTATTATACATATGCAAATATGCAAATGCAAAGTAAGAGTCGAAAATTCCTTAGTCATTTTTCCAGTGACTCAAGTACAGTAATACCATTAAGTATTGCGTTATTTATTCAAAGTTCTTCTTTGTTTGATTTTAAGAAAATATTTTGCAACTTAAAAAAAATGACAAGCCTCTGATACATCTGATAAAGGATATAATTACCTATGTGGAATCGTTACTGCGGATACAATGGATTTATTTCATAAATCTCTATTGTATTATGGCTTTTATGTATCTTAATCTCCTAAATTTATCAAAGATAATAATGGGTGGTATTACATTTTGTGTACTCTAGAAAAGTTTTGATCGTATAGAAAAAATTATATCACTAAAGATGCCTTGGAAGATATTTAAAACTTCGCGAGATATGAAAGAAATCACGGGACCGATTCTTTTAATATTGAGGTAGCACGGACAATACGAAAATCACGGGGGATGATAGAGGATGATAGGTGTCACTATTTGGATGAATTATCCTCGTGTGTCATCCATCATCCAGGATGACTGTTTACTCATCCTGGTACAAAAACTTTTTTTTGGATGACAGAGGATGACGGTAAACAAGAAGAAGGTTTATAAAAATAGCTGTGGTGGGGAAGAAAAAGAAGAGATTCCCTTCGACATCCATAAAAACATTTTCTTTTATTTTGTTCTTTATTTTTGCTCCTTATTTTGTGATAATTATCATAACAAGATAATAATTAATAAATTTTGGGATAATACTTTTATTACATTTTTTTACATTTTTCTTTTATTTTATATCTGTAATAATTTTAACAACAAATAATTTAGTGTGTCGGAATATCAATAGTGATAAGATACGCCAAAGCAGTAATATATCGCTATTGTCATATTCCTTTGAAACTTTAATAAATTTAATAAACTATTTCTATATTTCTTGGCAAAGTTGCATTAAAAAGTCTGTATCAGTTTTGTTGTTGTACGCAGCAGTCAGTAAAGATACTTTTACTCCACTTGCTCATCGTACCTTCAGATATTACACGAAGTTGTATTATTTGTGATTGTTAGTAAGCAGGTTTTGATCGACTGATAGCCTGAACTTACTGTGTTTCAAGATATCGCGACGATAAAAAAAGCGTGTTAGAAAAATATTGAATCATCGTGTGATTAAACTGAGTTTAGTGAGACTGATTGACGTAACTTTTGTCTTGTTCTGCGCAGACCGCGACAATACGAGAAAAGATCCACTAAACGAAAAATCAGGCCGATATTTCATGTGCATCAAATTTCTATCAAACAAATTGTATAGAAAAAATTTCAAATAGGAATAAAAATAATAATGATAATAATCTTACAAGTTATGTTCGCCGATAAGAGTAAATAAACATTAAGTGGTAAGATACTAATCGCCCCACCTAAATGAATGAATATTAAAGTGACAATTGACGTGACAATTAGTGTGACGATTAAAGTGATGATTAATGTGACAATTAATGTGAAGATCTGTAAAAAAGTCCATTAAAGCCGTGACATTTGAGGTATTATTTTTTTATGTATAATTAAAAGAACCTTCTTGTATGATTCTTGTGTCATTGGTAATTTCAATAATGCCAACCAACAATCAGAAAATACTCTTCGATGTTAAGAAAATTGTAATAAGATTGATAATTTATTCTCTGCTATATTATTATTATTATTATTGTGGGATGAATCTTTATTTTCTTTTCTTCCATATTAAAATCACTGTCTTCGAAAAAAACCTCATAAAGTTCGGTATCACTCGCGTCATTCATATCATTCGTGTCATTCGTATTGGTATCTTGCTTTTTCGAAAGTTCTGTGAATAAGGTTTACAGAAAATTGATAATAGTTTGTTATTTTAAGTAAATTATCTGTATTATTTATATAGATTGACTCAAAACAATACCAGGAGCTGGATGAACTGTCCAAAAATTATTAATTTCTGAAGGGCTAGTTGGAATTTTTCATAATCCTTCAAGTATAGAGAGTGTATTCTCCATTAAATTATTTAATCTGGCATCATCTGGTTTTTTACGTTTTTTCTAAAAATTTCAAGTATATATTTATATATCTTTCTGTTTTAAAAATATTCTATGAAAATTTTAAATATTAAAATTCGGTATTAGATATTTAGGTTTTCCACTATTCATTGTTTAATTAATTATTTTACTATTAAAATCAATTGAACATTTAATAAATTTGATTTTTGGTCATAATTTATACACAACCTATCACCATATCGCACATAATTTTCACGAAGCCAAATCATGACAACCGCTTTTGATTTTTTTTGTGGTTCTTTTGGTTTTTGTAACTCTCCTTTAGAAAGAAGAGGTAAGAATGATCAATGAAGCGCGTGTATTGAAGCATCAATAACAATAGGAGATTCGTTTTATAAAAAATTATATCAAAATTATATCAATTTTAGAATTTATTAAAAACTTTTTTTAGCGAATTAGAAGAATTGAATGCTTCAAAATTTATTGTAATTTGATTAACTTTTAAATATATCACGTTCTAAGTACTTCATTCTTATTTAAAGAATTAGCTTCTTCGTGATGTCGTTTTTTGGTAGTCGACATTTTTCGCTTTTTTATTATTTTTCGTGAAAAGTTAAAGTTTATAAATTTATTGATTGATCATTTACAGATCGCTGGCTTTTACAGCAACAAAACAACAACAGTCGCAATGAGAATAAAAAAAAAATGAAGAATGATTCATTTCAAATGCACGTGATAAATGTAAAGGATTTTTTTTTTGATTGCTTAATATAATAATAATAATTAAAAAAAAATATGCTGTCTTTAAAAATATAGTCTTCTCATTCTTCTCATTAGTAATGAATTATAGGTTTTACAACCCTAAAACAAAAATAAAACCCTTTTTTAAAAATACCCCTGTGATTCTTTTATTACATAATTTCATTGTCCATTTGTTTTACAGTGCCGCCAGTTTTTATATTATATATTTTTTTTTGGCGTCTAAAAATCTAAAGGTTACAAATAATTCAAATAATTGAATATTATGCTCGTGTCCCATTGCCATCAGCTCGTCAATAAATTAATAAGATATGATGAATTAAAGATGAATTAAAATAATAATAAACAAAAGTAATTTTTTATTTACCAAAAATAAACGTGTTCCATGGCGTTAATCGTTCCTAATAATAAGAATATAAAAGCATGTGAAACCAAAATATATTAACTTCAGTTCCATATCATCGGTGTCACCCATTGACCAGAATTATAAAACCAGCCTATGTTGATCCTTTTAATTTCACCCTAACCTTACCTTAATTTTGGCCAGTTTTAATCTGACGCAAGCGTTGGTCTGAGGCACAACATATACAATGCAATACACGTAATAAATAAATATATATGTAACAACAATTAATTTTGATTTTTTTTTAAATACTCGATCATTTACTTTATTATATTTTTTTTTATCACTTTTGCTTTTTTTTAAAATGTTTTCATTTTTTGTTAGCAAAAGTAAAAAGATGTTCTTGTACATATATATTTGTAAGTTATGTTTTGATGGTGATGGTGGTGATGATGATGGTAATAGAATTATATTTTTTTAGAAAGAAAAAAAAATGTCTATATATTTTTTGTACATAATTTGAAAAATGTAAATATATTTTTTTTTTTTTTGATTGATTTATAATGATTTAATAACAACAACTATTATCATGTCAGAAATGAAAAAAAAAATGAATCTATTTTGTTTTCTAAAAAATAAAAATAAAATAAAAATAAAAAAAAAATGTCTTTGAAGAAAAAAAAAATGCTATATGATATATGAAATGTCCTTTTTTTTTTTTTTTTTTAATATTTATAAAAATAAAAAATAAAATAAAGAAAAATGCTAAGAAAAAAAAATGAAAAATGCAATTTTTAATACAAATGCAGATATATATAATATATGTGTAATGATGAAATATGTGTATGTAATAAACAAAAAAAAAAAACTCTATATTGCTACTTACAAAAAAAAACAAAATATTTAAAGAGATGGAATTGAATTTCGGAAATGATGTATGTGAGGGAGGTAGGGAAAGAGGGAAAGAGGGAAAGAGGGAAAGAAAAGAGAGATGAGTAAGAAATGAAAGAAAATATATGCAAATGAATGAATATATGCAAATGAGTGTATGATATATATATATATATATGAAAAGTCTATGTTAATATGTATAGTCTATATAGTTGTGTAGTTAAAATACAAAAGAGTGGGAAATGAATGAATGAATGAAATGTTTACATGTGAATGAAATTTTTTTGAATGTTTGTAAAAAATTTGTTTATATACGGTTTGTATGTGTGAAAAATAAAAAATAAAAAAAGAAAAATGCAAAAATGTCTATAAAATAAAATAAAAAATAACAATAAAAAAAATCCAAAATATGCGCTTTGCTTTCTTTACATAGGCAAAAACCAACGAATCTAATACTGTTATACGCTCAGCGATCCAGTAATAACAATAATAATTGTAGCAAATAATAACAGTAATAATAATAATAGTAACTAATAAAATTCTTGTTGAAGTTGATGAGGGTGAAGAATAGGATTTTGTCCAGAAGATAGAACGAAAGAATTTAAAAGTTGTGAAGAAGGATCATTAAAGAACCCTTCATTAAATTCATTATATTCTAAATCATCACCTTCATCCAAATAGTAATTACCCTTATCCGTAGAATCATCAATTTGCATGCTTTGATCGAATTCCATGGCAGGAAGTAAAGTATCAAAGAAATTATCTTCAAAAGATGAAATAATTTTATTCCAATCATCATCACTAGTTGTAGTGTTGGTGTTGGCGGTGTTGGTATAATGTAAGGGAGATGAAGAATATTCAAGAAAATCATGAGGATGAAGATAATTATTTTGATAATTAGGAGTTTTAAATGAAGGACAGTTAGTAGTTGGAAGAAGGGAAGGAGAATTTGATTCAATGTAAGGAGGAGTTGAAGGAGCGGATGAATCACTTGCCCAAGAACTTATTGAATCAGTAGATGTAGAACGATAATGACTCCAAAGAAGAGGTGGAGTACGATTATTGAAAGCAACAGTAATATCTTCGGGTTCATTAAAAACAATATTACTATTATTATTCAAAATAGTTTTGGCAAGTTCTTCAGTTAAAATCTTTGAATCGGATTTCTTGATTACTTTACTATTATTACTAATATTATTATTATTAACTAATTTACTATTATTATTATTGTGACTATTTTTTGATTGCTTCTTTTTAGGAGCAAATTTATAATCAGGATATTTAATCATGTGTTCAAGTTTTAATTGTTGAGCACGTTCTCTCCAGTGTTGTTTGGTTTCTTCTGATTCTTCGTTCCACATTTTTGCTGCAATAACCGAAACAAGTTTATTATTCATTCCAGGATTTTCTTCAAGAACTTTATGTTGAATTTGTTCACGATAAGCCATGAAACAATTCTTGGGACGAGGAATATGACCATTATTTTTACGTTTACGCCAAGAACTACTTGATGATGATGACGATGAGCAACTTTTGGTAGATTTGCAGCTGGATACTGAAGAAGCAGGAGAAAGAGGAATGACATTTATAGGAGAAGAATTTGGGGAAGTTGAATTGACAGAAGAATCGGTAGAAGGAGAAGGGGAGGAAGAAGAAGTTTTGGGTACAAGTAAAACTTCATAACCTTTTGGAATATGATAAACATCGTATTCAGATTTATTTTGAGGAGCGGGAGCGATATTACGAAGTTTTTGTTCTATTAAAGGAGTTAATGATTTTGGTGATTTTAATTCTGACATGTTGTTGTTGTTGTTATCAGTGATGGGAGAAGAAATATCAGTAGAAACGATATTTTCATTGTTGTTGTTGTTGTAACTAGACATTTTTTCAATGATTCTAATAATGGAGAAAGTTTTGTTGTTGTTTAAATGCAAAAAAGAATTTTATATATGTATTTTTATATATAATTTATAAATATTTTGATATTTATAAATATTGTATGTTTATATTTTGTTGAGTGAAAAAAAAAATGAAAAAAAAATCGTTGTTATTGCTCACAGAGCAAAGAAAATTTAATAGCGCAAATTTGGATGAGGAAAAAAAAAAAGAAAAGGAGAAGGTGGTTATTTATATTTTTCAAAATATAATAAGCATATAATGAATATAAATATAAATATAAAGTAAATAATAATAATGATGCAGAGATAATGTTGATGTGATAACGATGTTGATTAATTAATTAATTATTATTATTATAATTATTATTTTATTATGTTATGATAATAATGATGCCGAATAATGAGTACAGTGATGATGATGGTGGTGAAATTGTGGAAATATTTTGATAATAATAATAATGAAACGGGAAAAAATATACGCGCGTATCCAAAAATAATTTTTATTTCATGATTTTTTCTATTCAAAGATCCAATTAAAATTAAGATTCCTCTTTGTATAGTTTAAATGGATTATTAAAATTATAAAATATAAATTATAAAATAAATTTATTGTTAAATAAATGAATAAAATAATGCTAACAAAATAATTTAAAAACCGTTAATTTAATTAATTAATTAATAAATTAATTAATAAAAAGCTTATAAATGCGTGTTAATTAAACGTACATTTTAATATCATTCGTTGATCGTTACGCATAATACACGTTACGATAACACACAGACACTAAAACGTTACTTAATAGACTAATTGGATAAAATTACCTTGTTCTTGGACCTGTTTGACATAAAAGGAAATATAAAAAAAAATTTGGTTTAACTCAATTAATCCAAAATTCCATAACATAATTCTGCATAATTAACTATACTTGAAGGTAATTCAAAACTACACGTGTGTACAGTTTCAAATAATAAATACTATTTACTACTACTTCTTGCTTCTTCTTTTTCTTTTCTTTTTGTGTATTCACATTTTAATTTATTACATGAATTACATTATGAATATGAACTTTTGAAATTGAAGGCTGAATACACTGTATCACTACACTGAATGGAATAAATGATGTTTGAAATCGAAATCGAAATTCAAATCGAATTAAATTTATTAATAAAAATCCTGATCAAAAATAAAAATACACAATAAAAATAAAAAATATACTGTATTAATAATCATAATAAAAATAAAGTTGAAGACCCTTTAAGTAAAAGTGATGGTTAGAGCGTAACACGGAAAATAAATCATCCTGTATTACATATGTTGCATGTATTACATGTAATGCATTAAGTGTGTGATTTCGCGATTGCGTGATAGGTTATAATGGATTTTAAAAAGTTTATTGATACGATTTTTTATTCACGTTAACCATTTTATTGTTCCTTACCTGTTATTGCCTGTTATTACCTGTTATTCATCTATATTCCTATATTCCTTTCTCACTCCTTCCTCCTTTAATTTTTTTTTGTCACCCCTTTTTTTAATTATCTCTGACAAATATCCAGTTGTGCGAAATTTTCAAAACAAGAAATGTAAACAATAAATAAATAATATAAATAAAATATACATCTAATAAAAAAAATAATTACTTAAAGGTTATAGTTTTTGCCATGTGGAAAAAAGATTCCGAAAAAGGGTGAACAAACAATGATGATAGTGGGGTAAATATTATTCCAATTTTTATTTTTTTTTTTCGAAATACTGTTTATGTTTATATTTGTTTTCTATATATTTCTATATATTTCTATTTTTATATGTGGATAAATGTAAATGCATTGATATCATTAAAATTTATTTTTCTTCATCTTCACCTTTAGTTCAGTGATAATGATACATAGTTACATTATAATAATTTGTAATACATTTAAATAAATATTTGATGTAACGTATTTACATATATTACAGGTAAAGCATATGTCAATTAGTGATACAAAGAATTTTTTTGAGTTTTAAAGTTAAAGATTTAGTTTTTTTTTTTAGATTAAAAAAATTTTTTTTTTTTAAATTTTGACATGCTAAAAAAAAGTGGTATGACAATTTTTTTTTTTTTTGACTTCATTATGATAGACGACTTTGGAAAACTAAAGTGTGTAAATAATAATATCACTAATTGTTCATTTATTAATTTCATAAAAAAAAATGTAAACACGAACCAATCATAATGAATTAAATACAACTAAATAAATACGAAAGAACGAAAACAACAATAACATGATGCCTGATAGAATATTTTATAATTAATTACAGCGATATGTTAATTGAAATTCTACATACATACATACATATATTATTATAGATCGTATGTTTCTTCAAATTCTAAATTCTATATATCACAAACTACTATTGCTATATTACTATTGGATAACATTAGATTACATTTACATGTACATTACATTTACATTAAACGTTACTATACCAATTTTATACCAGTTATAGCGACAGAATAATCAATATTTTAAAAATTGTATAGAGGAAACTATATTTTAACAATTTTTGAATTATTGATAATTAAAAAAATGCATGTCATTATTTTATTGTTGTTAAACATAAAACGTGCGGTTCATTTAATAAATGACTAAATTATTTATTCACTGTCAATATTTTAAAATAGAAATGAGTGTAATTGAGTAGTATTAATATGATTTAGCATAACAAGTGTAACGAATATAAAGGGTAGGCGAGGTAGAATAAAGGAAAACCGTAGATCTTGAAATTTCTTTGTTGTTAAATCTCTCTCTCTTGTTAAATTTAATCTTTGTGTTAAAAAAATCCTTGTTTAAAATATTCTGCGTCAAAAAAAAAAAAGAAGAAAAATCCTTGTTAAAGTTAATAATAACTAATAGTAGCACATACAATGAAATTAAATTATGAGAATAAAATTTTAATACTAAAATAAATAATGTATAAATTAAAATACAATGAAGAAACCTTTTCCACAATTCAATGATCTTCGAAATATGTATATGTAATATTGTAACATTGTGTAAATTTATAGTTTGCGGGGTACTAATGTGTTGTGTAATTATAGCTTTAATAATATAGTTTCAGTTCGTTGTTTATAATTATATTATACTAGGCTATTACTATTTTAGTTTGTTTATGTTTAAGATACGTTATACGTCATTCATCGAAACATTTTATCAGAACAACGACACGCGTTTGTTATTTCTTTGATCGATTAGAGATTAGAAACACTTAATAATTATTAATATTAATAATATTAATACTGTAAAATGTAATGAAACCAAAGTAAGAAAGAAATTATTACTGTAATATGTATAAAGAAATAAAGAAATAAAGAAATAATTGATTGATTAGGTTGGTTAAAATTGTTGAAATTAGTTACGCTATTGGTTTATTATATTATTTGTATTATTTAATTTACGCGATTAAAAAAAAAAAAAGAAAGTGTTTTCTTTTTTCATTATTTACCCAAAAAGTAAAACAAATCTGCATGATAACTAAAGAATTAAATGATTAATTAATTAATTAATTAATTAATCCAACATTTAGTAACGCATAAGGTTCTTAATTTATCTTCTTTTGAAACACGCGTTTAAACTTATTAAACCTGTTAATACTTATTACCATTAATAATAAAGACATATTTACCTTGTTTATAATGATAGAATTATCCTTGTTAAAAGCAAAGTAATCTTACCTGTTCAATTATTATTCGTCTCTCTCCATTTACCATATTATTCGTCCCTTACCATATTATTCGTTTTTCCCTTACCATATTTTTTTGTCTTGTCAAATTGTTCGTGTCCCTTACCATATTATTCGTCCTTTTTCGTTATTCGCCCCTCATCGTTTTTTACCACATTATTCGTCCCTTGCCACAATATACGTTCCAACCATATTATTCTAGCAATTAAATCAATTTGCGATATTAATTTATGTCATATTAAAAACAAGAAGTTTAACGCATTGATAGTAAAATAATAATTTATTCACTAATTGGTTGGATATTATTTTTTTCACGTGGTTGTAACCTGTAGATGTTGTAACATGCAATCGAAGTATTATTTCGTTAAAGAAAAAAAATATATCAAATAATAATAATAATTATTATGATTATTATTTAAAAGAAACCAAAATTCTTTACTACGATTGTTGAATGAAGGAAAGGATCATGATATTTATAAAAAAAAAAATTCAAATGTTAACAACGTATATATATCTCTTAAATTTTCAATCAAAAAAAAAAAAGAAAAAAAAAATCTCTTTCTCTATCACTTTTTTTGTTATTCCTTTTTCTTGAATTCACAAATAACAACAACAATAATCAAATAACGTTTTTTATTTTTATTTCTCTGAATCAAAGAACTTTTATCCCTATATCCTTAATTAAACTAATCTTTCTTTTCCTATTTCCCTTATCTAGTAATTTTTGATTTTTTTATGGTTTAATTAATTCTTAATTTGAATCACAGCTTTTATGTGTCATGGTGTGGCGATAAAGCGGAACATAATATATATATGAAATCCCGTTATTTTATTATCCTTTATCAAATTTCGTTATACATCAAATTCCATATATAGCATGTGTATCTGATATTTAAAATACTGTATTAGTGTGCAATATGCAATACAAAAATTGGATTAATTCTTATTGGTTAAATGAAAAAAAGGTTAGAATAAAGAAAACAAAGCAAAAAGGAATTAATCTTTATGGAAATTCAACATCGGATAACCATTTCATTATCATTGCATTGTCCCCGAACTACACACATTCTAGAAAAAAAAAATCTTTCCCATCTGTTAAATATTATTCATTTTTACAAACAAAATGGATCAAAAAATAAAGCTCTTATCAAAACTGACCACTATTATAAATTACTCTAAAAGGATAAATACTGTATTTAATTCACAATTATGTTATATGATGTTCTTCAAAAGAATTCTAGAAAGGTAATTATTGTATGACAAA